AAATGAAAGACACAATGAAAAGTACAAAATATTGCTCAAAGAAATTAAAGAAGACATACATAAATAGAAACACATGGGGCCAGCCTGGTGGCATAGTGGTTAACTTAGCACGCTCCAGCTCAGCTGTTCAGGGTTCGTAGGTTCGGATCCTGGGTGCGGACCCAGCACCACTCGTCAAGCCATTCTGTGGTGGAATCTCACATAAAATAGAGGAAGACTGGCAAAGATGTTAGCTTAGGGCCAATCTTCCTCACACACACACACAAAAGAAACACATACCATGTTCTTGGATTGAAAGAGTTAATATTATTACGATGTTGATACTACCCAGAACAATCTACAGATTCATACAATCCCTATCAAAATCCCAATGACATTTTTTGCAGAAATAGAAAAATCTATCCCAAAATTCATATAGAATCTCAAGAGACCCCAAATAGCCTAAACAAAATTTAAAAACAAAGCTGGGGCTGGCCCCATGGCCTAGTGGTTAAGTTGGGCATGTTCTGCTTCAGCAGCTTGGGTTCGTTTCCCAGGTGCGGACCTGCACCACTCGTTGGTGGCCATGCTGTGGCAGTGACCCACATACAACACAGAGGAAGATTGGCACAGAAGTTAACTCAGGGCGAATCTTCCTCCACAAAAAAAAAAAAAGAAAGAAAAAGCTAAAGGACTCACACTTTCTGATTTCAAAACTTAGTACAAAGCTACAGTAATCAAACAGTATGGTACTGGCATAAAGACAGACATATAGACCAATGGAATAGAATAGAGAGCACAGAAGTAAACCCTCACATATATAGTCAAATGATTTTCAACAAGGGTGCCAAAACATTCAATGGGAAAAGGATAGTCTTTTCAACATGTGGCGCTGGGAAAACTGGATATCCAAATGCAAAAGAATGATGTTGGACCCTCACCTAACACCATGTACAAAGATTGATGCAAAATGGATCAAAGGCCTAAATAAAAGATCTAAAACTATAAAACTCTAAAAGAAAACATAGGGCAAAAGCTTCATGACATTGGATTTGGCAGAGATTTTTTGGATGTGACACCAAAGTCACAGGCAACAAAAGAAAAAAGAAACAAATTGGACTTTATGAAAACTGAAAAATTTTGTGCGTCAAAAGACAACATCAACAGAATCAAAAGGCAACCCAAAGAATGGGAGAAAATATTTGCAAATCATATCTCTGATAAGGGATTGATCTCCAGAATATGTAGAGGACTCCTAAAACTCAACAACAAACAAACCCAGCCCAATTCAAATGTAGGCAAAGGACTTGAATAGACATTTCTTCAAAGATATACAAAGGGCCAATGAGCACACGAAAAAATGGTCAAAATCACTAAACATTCAGGAAATGCAAACCAAAACTAGGATGAGATAGTACCAACTAGAATGGTTACTATCAAAAAACCCAGAAAATGACGAATGTTGACAAGGATGTGGAGAAACTGGAATCCTTATGCACCGTTAGTGGGAACATAAAATTGTATAGCCACTGCGGAAAATAGTGTGGTGGTTCCTCAAAAAATTAAAAATAGAATTGCCATATGACCCAGCAATTCCACTTGAGTGTGTACCCAAAAGAATTGAAAGCAGAGTCTTGAAAAGTACTTGAGCACCCACGATCAAAGCATTATTCACAATAACTAATGTGGAAGCAACCCAAGTGTTCATCAACCAATGAATAAATAAACAAAATGTAGCATATACGTACAGTGGAATATTATTCAGTCTTTAAAGAGGAAGAGAATTCTGACATGCTACAATATGGATGATCTTTGTGGATGTTATGCTGAGTGAAATAAAGTAGTCACAAAAAGACAAATCCTGTATGAATCCACTCATGTGAGGTAGTTAGAGTAGTCAAAATCCGAGAGACAGAAAATAGAATGGCGGTTGTCAGGGGCTGGAGGGAGTTATTGTTTAATGGGTACAGAGTTTCCATTTTACAAGATGAAAAGTTATAAAGATGGATGGTAGTACAACATTATTAATGTATTTAATAACACTGAACTATACACTTAAAAATCGTTAAGATGTTAAATTTTATGTATATTTTACCACAATAAAAAAAATTGGGGGGAAATGGAATCGTACAAAAAACTTTTAAAAGGATACTCAAAACATACAGCTATGAAAGGGTTGAGTCGAAGTGACGTCCCGTTTGCTCACACAGAGGTGACAGCCTTTAACCCTCTCGCTGGAGACCCCGCTGGTCCTGCTGTCCAGTCTAATACTGATCTGGAAGGAATCGTGTATGGGTTTTGCTCCATAATTGTTGGGCTGAAGTTAAAGGTGTTTATTTTGGCTTTGAGTACGGGCACAACAGTGGTGAATTATCCAAAAAGAAAGAGTTCCACATTAAAGGCATGTTTTTATCCCCAACTTTTTATTCTGGATATGTTCCAACCTGCAGAGAAATTCAACAACGGGTGCGGTAAACACCCACGTACCCTGCGCGAGATTCACTAAAAAGCCTTCAGCTCCTGTTTTCTAAGGGTGGGGACATTTTCCTATATGATCATGATAGCGTTTTCACAGCTACGAAAATTAATATTTGATGTCTTCTAAAATGGCAGCATTTCACTAGATGATTACTTTATACGTGAGCTTTTCAAAAAGCTACACGTGTATCCAGCTCAGATTCATTCTGTGCCTCTGATAGTACAACTGCTTCTTGTGGAGACTGAATACCGTATGACACCACTCATATGGGAATAATGTTTTTTATCTTATAGTCTTTTTAAAATACTGTTGACGTACTTTCCTAACTTTTTACAGTTAGTAGATACAGTCTTAAAATTTATCTTAGTATAACTTGGGTCATTAGAACATCAGCCCTTTTTGGCTTCTGGTAGAGGTACGGTATCAAATGTGGCAATAGCAGAAGTCCTCGGGAAGATGTAAGGCACAGTTCTTCTTTCTCTTGGAGTCGCACTGTGACATAGTGCTGTCTGCAGGGCCAGGGCCTTTCAGCAGAGTCTGCCTTTGGCTGGTGGGTTTGTCTGGTGGACAGCCGAATATCAGTGTGCTAGCCACCAGGGAGCTGCTGGCTGGCTTTTTCTACTTTTACTGATTTAGATAATTTCTCATATACAAAAGTCTGTGTTCGTGTTCTCCCTGTGACTGGAAGGTCAGTTTGTGAATAGCCTTACCAGACAACCCTCAGACAGGAGATGGCCTTTCTGGAGAAATAGTCGAGGGCTTTGGGGCAGCCAGCATCGCTGCGTAGGGCCCCACATATGCCTGTAAGTCATCTTGAATTGAAGCTTCTTTAGAGCAGGGACTAGGTTATGTGCATCCTCTTAAGTGATGGACATGATGATAGAACCATAGAAATTCCCCCTGTAAGAAGCCCCTACCGCAGGTCTCCTTTCAGCCGTACAACTACTCAGTAAAGTAGGTGATTTTCTTCCCCTTTTACAAACAAGCAAACAGGCTGCATGATGTGAACCACTTTGCCCCAGTCGTAGAGGCAGGACTTGAATTCAGGTCTGTTAGACTCCAGAGTCAACAGTCCACCTGCCACTCTCTACTGGCTCCTCCTTGCTCAGTGCTACGCACCTAGGAGGTATTCAGGAGATCTTTATTGAATGGATGTTGAAGAAACAGCTTGGAAACGTGGAGACAGTGGAGTTGGCAAGTTTTACCCCAGTTGGGATGGATAATGAGTTGATGTAGCCACTAGAGGTCAGAATTCAGCAAGTCTTTGTTAGCTCAGGAGCACTGCCTGAGATAGTCTCTGCCCCGCAGAGCTGGAAAGGACCTCAGAGGTGCCCCCCTCCCCACAGGTCCTCACCTGAGGCTTGGAGATGCTTTGACTTGCCCAAGGCCATAACAATGTGCGGAGTCCCAAACCATGCTTTGTCCAACAACACGATACTTCTTTGAGCACCTTCCTGGAGCCTAGAGCATTTTGTCATCTAAAAACAGCACTCAAGGACTGCGTGGAGCAGTGTGTGTGCCAGTGGCAGGAGTAGAACAGTGAGAGGCCAAGTCTGGCCCTGCCGTGGGCTTTAAAGTGGAAGCTCGGGAGGGTTTGTTTTTAGTAGTGAGGTTTGACTCAGAGTCACAAATACATTTTACATCATGAGTCAGTGAATTATATAATTATAATGCATACAATATATATATAGCATCCATTATAATTATATAATTTTATTATAATTGAAATAAAGTTTTTCAAAATAATATTTATCCTAACTATAAGGCAATACATTCTGTAGTTTCCTAGTCTGTTTGGTAAGACAAAGAATGCCAATCACAGCCCACTGAACTGGCTTCGTGGTCCTCTGATGGTCACGTGTGTGATTCAGTGTGATAGCACTACGCTAAATCATTGATTTCAACTAGGAAAGAGGTGACTTCCCCTGACCTTTGATCACTGTCTACCAAATGGTCTTACTTTGGGGTAGAGGGTAGAGGTTGCTAGAACACAGCCGTCACAGACAAGACTTCTTGGAAGCCTAGGCAGAGAGGAATGAGGACAGGCCAACAGTAGGAATCCATTCTTCACCACGGTGGTCCCATCAATCAGGACTTACGGGAGAGAACGTGGAGGCTGCTGTCAACCGGCCCTGCTGTCAATCTCAAGAGGACTCCCGCTTAGGGAGCCAGGGGCTCCACACTGAATATGTGCACTTGTATGTGTAATTTCATTAGAGAAAAAAGACCGAGCCCTAAAGATCCATTAGGTTATGGATATAAAATTATTGATTGAGAATCCATGAAGGTTGAAGGCCTGAGTCCCTGAGCAGTGGCTTCAGGTCAGGGAGGTGAAGTAACAGGTTTTCTTGTTTTGTTTTCACTGATAATCTAGACCGGCATATCTCCAACTTTAATGTGCGTAAGAATCATTGGGGGCTCTAGTTAAAATGCAGGTCCTATTCTGGAGACATGGAGAAGCGCTTCATTTAGAGGGAGAGGACAGAGGAGGCGGGGGGAGGGCCAGGCAGGTGTGTCCAAGCCAACTGCCTTTTTCCTGCAGACATGGAGAAGGGCTGCCACTTCCTGCACATCTTGGCGTGTGCTCGCCTGAGCGTCAGCCCGGGCCTGAGTGAAGCTGTGCTGCAGCAGGTGCTGGAGCTCCTGGAGGACCAGAGTGACATCGTCAGCACCATGGAGCACTACTACATAGCTTTCTGAGGAGAGGCAGCAGACAGCACGGGCGGAGCCGGGCCGAGGAGGAGAAAGACCATGTGCTGTTTGCTCCCAGGCTCTGATTTAAGCATCCTGCAGAGGTTTATAAGGCTGGAGGCAATTATCTCATAATAAACTATGAAATGTGGTCATTTGATGAATGAGATTTGGCGTAAATTCTGTAGGCTGCCTTCTACCTGCTGTATCCTTGGGACAAAATAACTTTATCCCAGCCATGACATACAACAAAACCCTGCCTGGTGGCCTCCCGACGGGACTGGGCATCACTCTGGGAGCGGAAGGGGAGGAAACTATGTTGGTGGCTGAATGGGTGTGTGTGGTTTGAGGTCTCTCACGGTAAAAGGACAACCCGTGGTAAAGCCCATGTGCTGGAGGAACTGAAGAGAATACAGCCAGATCTCAGATCTGAAGCCTTTTAAATCTTCAGACTGTCAGTTACCTTCTTGTGGTAGCTTGATGGCTCTTGAGGACTAGTTCTCCCTGGATGGTGTCCTGAGCTACGATTTCCAGGGGTCAAGCACCAGCTGTGGGTCCTGAGTCCTGGGTCGAATGCCATTTACAGACCCACCCAGAGATGGGAATATGGATCCAAGGCGTGGCTCTGTGTTTGTCATTTTCCTTCTGAATCAAAAGGTGTCTCAGTACATTTCCCTGCACTTGAGGACGTATGTGACTGACTGCGCTGTCCCTGAATGTCCCGCAGTTCTCCGAGGCTGTCAGCCAATCGCCTGGCAGTGGTAGATGTTATTTTCAAGGTTGCCATTGAACGTGCAGGACGTCCCGACACCATTCAGACAAAGCCTAGGTATGGGCCCAGACAGGTGGTGGAGTCATGCCTTTGCTCAGAATGACAAGGTAAAGGGGAAAATCTGAGGTATGTAATGGGCTTGTTGTAACAGCAAGATGACAGATCCAGCCAGCAAAAATAAAGTGTGGAGAAAAGTTTGGAGTTAATTACAGTCATTTCACAAAAGGCACATCTGCCTTCGTCTGGTGCATTTGCTCTTGACGTAATAAGCTCTTAGTGGCTCTGCTGGAGAGCCTGCAGGCCTGGGGCCTCGGTCTGTTCTACGCAGAGATGGAGCAGCTGCGCACTCAGAAGGCCGCTGCAGCTCCATGTGTCAGGCCGAGGGCTGGCACTGACAGATTGCTTCATGTCATGGACTTTTCTGACTTGACCCAAACCTCTGCCCGATTTCTTAGAGCAGAGTTTGGGGTCAGATGGCTGCCCTGTGTCTTCCGTGTGCTCAGAAGGGTCCCTGTAGACTAGGATCTACCTGGATGACACCCCAACAGTTCTTCCTTGAGGTCAGCAGCTGTTCCACATTGAATACACCTTGGATTGTTGGCACTGCCCAGGAAGCAGTCTCGAATCAAATCATAAAAAGGGCATATCCTTGCACATAGCAACCCCACTTCTAGGGTTTATCCCAAGGAGATGATCACACAGGTGTGAAAAGGTGAATGCGCAAGATGCCCACTGATATGTAATTTAGAATTCTCTAACTAGGAAAAGTATTTATCTATAGGGAAGGATTAATTATGGTATGTATACACAATAAAATACTATGCAGCCATTAAAATAGTGGAGCAGACAGATATTGTTGCATGAAGCACCATTCCCCATAGATTCAGTGGGAAGACAATCGAGTTACAGATCTGTGTATAACACCATTGATCTAAAACTACCTGCATGTGCATGTATGTATCTAGATAGACAGCGTGTGTTTCTGCATATACGTCTATATAAATGTGGCACACGTATACATGTACGTCTAGTTGACCACTCCTGCCTCCTAGAAGCACTTTTTGCACTTGGCTTTCAGGACACCACACTGGCTGCTCCTTCTCAGCCTTCTTTGCTCAGTTGCCCATCTTCCTGGGGGCTCAGGGTTCAGTCCCAGACCTCCTTTCTACCTAGATTGCTCCCTGGGAGATCTCAACCAGTCTCATAGCTCATACCATCTATATGCTGACAAACTTCTCAGTTTATATCCAGTTTGGACCTCTGCTGAACTCCAGACCCTGAAATTCAACTTCCTACTGACATCTCCACTTAGGTGTCTAACAGACATCACAAACAACGCCCAAAGAAGGCACCCAATCACCCCTGACCCCAAACTTGCTCCTTCTGAAGTTTTCCCCATCTCAGGAAAAGGCAGCTGCATTTTTCCAGTTTCTCAGGCCAAACCCATCGACTTCTTTCTCTCACATCGCACGTCCAGCCTGCCCACAAATCACCGTGAATCTGCCTTCAGAATATTTCCAGAATCTCCACTTCTCACTCTTCTACTGCCCCCACCAGGAGCACTGCAGCTGCCTCCTCACTGTTCTCCCTGCTTCCGCCCTCACCCCTCTTCAGTTCATTCTTAGCACAGCAGCTGGAGCCATCCTGTCGTCTTCTGCTCCAGCTCCCCGTGACTTTGTGTCTCACTCCAGAGAGGAGCCTAAGGCTTCCAGTGGCAGCAGGTTCTGCTCTGCGAGCCTCCTCTCCTGCTGTTTCCCCTCACCCAGCTCAGCTTCATCCGCCTTGCTGTCCCTCACACACCAGGACATTCCTGCCTTAGGGCCTTGGCACTTGCCGTTTCCTCTGCCAGAAATGTTCTTCACCCAAGTAACCATATGGTGAGCTTCTCCCCCTCCTTTGGGTCTTTTCTTGAGTGTCGTCTTCTCAGTGAGGGCTGTTCTGATCCCTCGCTTGCTGATTACAGCCGATCCCTTCTCCCTGCTCCCCAGAAGGCCACAGTACTTATTTTTCTCCACAATACTTGCTACCATGGAACACACTCCATCTGTTTCTTACCCACCCTCTCTCCCCAACAGAAGGAATGCTCCATGAGGACAGGGCTCTTCCTTTGCCTCATTTCCTGCTGTGTCCCAGCACCTAGAACAGTGCCTGGCACATACTTCAAGTGGTACCACTTCTGTTTGTGCGTCTGGCTGCCCTCCACCTGCTAGCACCTTCCTCTCTCTCCTGGGGAGCTTTCTCCACTGTCTTTGAAGGATGTTCCAGCTGGAAGTGCTCAGAATTAACACCCACTGAGAGCAGCCTCAGCCAATAATACTGGGGTATAAATACTCCTGCTCCCTGGCCCTTCAAATGCGATATCTCTGAGGCATGTACATGTGCCACACCATTTCCCAGAGCTGCTCTGTGGGATTGAGCTCCCTCGCCCTCGCCGTCTTCATTCCCTGCTCCTCACTGCTGTTTGCTGCACCTCCCAAGGGCGTTGCTTCCTTTGCTATCCTTGTCTCAGGGTCGGCTTCTGGGTGAACACAAATTAGCACCATGCTCACAAGTATATTTGAGAACTGCTGTATGAGTAATTATACATGTCAAACAGATTTCTAAAAACACTTACCAAGGTGATATACTTGTCACCTCTGAAAGGTGAGATGTCAGATGCTTTGTAACTGCATCTGTCTATGTTGATATTTCTACAATTAGCGAGAGTCATTTCTACAACAATAATAAAGCTGCTTCTCACAGCCTGCCCCACACACCTGTAACCGGAGTCACGAGTGAACCAAGAATGAGATGGGCCTCTCTCCTCCACAGCAACATAGGAACTCGGAGAAGATGAGGGGAGCTTTGGGAAAGCTATGGGGCTACGGTTGGGTCACTGCTTGTAGCGAAGAGCCATCAAAGGGCTCCCCTGAGAGGAGAGAAGCTGAGCGAACACTCGAGCTCTCTGGTGCACAGACGTTTCAGGAGGTGTGAACGCTGCATGTGGTTCATGTGGCAAGAAGACAAGTCGTGCTGCTCTCTGGTCAAGGATTTGTTTGGAGAGCCATGATCATCCCCATCTGGTAAGCTACCAGGGCCTCTCATCCCTATGAGACACTTCTTTCTAATTATTTCTCCGTCTGATAGTGTGCCAGGACACTGGCCAAGAGAGAGCCAAGTGGGAAGACGTCTACTCAGTGATGAGGAACTGTGGACTTGGTGCCGATGACTGAAACCAAGCAAACTTGTAATTTTCCACTGGAGAACACATCCACACTTTCTTATTAGTGTGGTTTCTTCTCTATGGTTGGTCTCTGCAGCACTGCCCCAGTTGTTTCCTTACTAAGGGTATGGGAGGCATATGGGCAGACTCGGAAAGTCCGTGATGAGGCTGGCTGGAGGAGAAACAGGCCCTGGGGGGAAAGCTGGACCATCCTGAAGGGAATGGTGTCTGTTGGCGAACCTTGCAATAGAGTTTTTGTTTGCGTGATAGTCTCCTGGTGGAGGCTCTAAATGTGAGCCCAAACTCCCACGTTAGTGAGTTTTTATGTAATCCAGAATTTTAAAAAAATACAGCATATTTTTACTGAACTTTTGTTAGGTAAACCCAAACAGGAAGGTCACAGCACAGCACAAGATTCTGTGTTCACAGGAATTCTAAATCAAACCCCAAATTCCTGAAGAGACTCAAATCCCTCCGATTAAAATGATAGGTTTTCGTTTTGGAACATAAAGAGAGGAATTTTGAAGACCACATGATAGCCCTAGTATTTTTAGATAGAGACCGTAAAGTGGAGTCTCATGAATTCACACTGATTTGGGGAAAAGTTTGTGTAAATTAGTGAAAAAAGTGAGTTTCAAATAGTGCCATTTATTACTGTAGTGTTCCATATTACATCGGAATTACCATGAGGGAACAGGTTTGTTGCTTTAGGAAACCTGCTTTAATGAATAAGAATTATTTTAATTATGTATCGTTTGTTATTATTCAGTATCATTTACTTATTATGTATTACGTATCATTTAATATTAACAGGTGACTTTAAAGTACTTGCCTTAAGAGATGTGAAAACATATGTCCACACAAAAACTTGCACATGAATGTTCCCAGCAGTATTATTCCTAATATCCAAAAAAGTGGAAACAACCCAAATGTCCATCAACTGATGAATGGATAAACAGAAATGTATTTATGCCGTGGAATGTTATTCAGCCATAAAAAGGAATGAAGCACTGATGCATGCTGCAACATGGATGAACCCTGAGAACAGTATGCTAAGTGAAAGAAGCCGGACACAAGAGGCCACATAGTGTATGATTCCATTTATATGAAAAGTCTAAAATAGGCAAACCCATAGAGACAGAAAGTAGATTAATGATTGCCAAGGCATGGGGGGAGAGGGAATTGTGGGGTAC